GTCAGATTCACTAGTAGACCATTGTATAGTCTGAAAAAAACTAGATTAGCTGTTAGGTAATAAGCAGAAAATAGAAGAAACTAGTTTGGATATTCCCTTCTCTTACTATAACTAGTTGTACTTTAAATTAGTTCTTTAATAGAAAATAAGAGTAATTTGTTACATGAAAATGATTATATATAGATATATAGATAGTTACTAATGTATTATCATATTAAAAATTGTAATGAAGCCTATTATATATATAGCAAAATTACAAAAAAAAAACTATATAAATTATATAAACAAAAAATATTGAGATTTTTTGATAATTATTTAAATAAAACTTTTTTATACTAAGTTAGCAACTAAAATCAATTAATTGAAAGTTTTAGAGCTTATTAAAATGAATCTAAAAATATTTAATTATCTAAATTAGCCTAGTAATTGTTAAGATATCATTAAAAAACAATTAGCTAATTATATAAAATTACTATATAAACAATAGTTTGTTTATATAGTAATTTTATATAATTAATAAATTATTTTTTTAAAGATATTTCAATAATTACTAAGCTGATTTGAATAATTTAACTACTTTATATTTATTTTAGTGAGCTTTAAAACTTTTAATTAATCAATTTTAGTTGTTATTATTTTAATATAAAAAGTTTTATTTGAATAATTGTCAAAAATATCAAAAACACAAAACTCTTTCAGATAATCACTTGTACAAACCAAATATCAAAAGCAAGTTAAAGACTCAAGCCTAGAAGTCAATAACAACTTAAAGCTTTCTTGATACAAACAGTTATTAATAAAATTTTTAAACATAATATACTGAGAAATAGACATTTTAGACAGTTTGCAAAGGGTCAAAGTCTTTCTTTTTGTTTTCTCAGATAAATTTTTCTTTGTATTTGGTATTCAAACCAGAGAAGTCTTTGAGAATAGCAAGTAGAAAGAAGACTAAAGTTTATTTAAAGATTAAAGACTATAAAGAACTCTTGGAACAATACTTCTTAGTTAAAAAACTTCATAACTATAATACTCTTCTACATTCTTTTTTCTTTTTCATTATTTTCGATAAAATTAATGAATTTAGCTTATCTACTCTAAGAGATCAGCATTGTTTACTACTTCTATATTAGAAAACCTTACATTGTGACATAATGAATTAAGAATACAACAATATATAGAGTCATATTCTATGTTAATTTGGGTATACTCTGTCAGAAATGAAGGCTTTTTGAGATAGATTTGAGGAAGTAGCTTTTAATAATAATCAAGTAAACAAAGAGAAGACTCTCTGTTTTATTACATTTAGTATAGAGAAGATATTTTGAAAAGGATCTGTAAATAGATAAACTCGATAAATTATTTATTAAGAATAATAAATATGAAAAAATTTTTTTGATACTTTAGATTTATATATAGATTTAACTAGAAAGTTGATAAAGTAATTAATATAAGATATGCAAAATTCTGAAGTTATATACAATAATTTTTACTGTAAACTCTGTATATAGACTATAGTATATATATTTTCTTTTCTTTTAATCTTTTGTTATCAAAACGCTTACACTTAGTAGTAGACTGTTACTTTGTATAAATAAAAGTTTTTATCTGATTAGCAGTTTTTTTCTATTTAGCAATAGTTTTTTTAGATTTTAGTATAGTTTTTGATTCTTTAATATTAGTACCTATTTTCTATAATGTATTTATTTTTATATTTGCTCTTTTTTTATTATTTTATTTTTTAATTTTTTTTCTTTTTTTTCTCTCTACAAGAAAATATTATTAGTTTGACAATATTCTATTGTAAAGCAGAAATCTTAACAAAGCATGCAATAGCTAGCTAAAGAATTTGGAGAAAATAAGTTTGGAGTAAGTTCCAGATCTCTAGAGTAGGCCAAGTATTGCAAGGCAGATCATATCTGAGTATTATACTTAGATTTTAGTCATCTTAATTTAAGAGAAATGTTGAGAGTGAGTTTGTCTTTTAGTTTTTTTTTATTTTATTTTGAATTTGCTGTATATATGATAAGATTAGTTACAGGTTTGTATATTAATTTTGAATTATTTATTATATCTTGTATAACTATCTAAGTATAGCAAATCACTTCTTAATTTTCTATTTATAAACTAATTTAAGACTAGCTACCATTAGTTATAGAAGAGAAAAAAAAAGTTCAAGACTTTTGGTTAAGATATTTTAAATTGTATTTATATATCTAAAGTAAATCAATTTTTCTTCATAATAAAGCAATCAGGATTTGCTTTAGAAAAAAAAATAATAATTGTCAAAAAATCTTAATATTTCTTGCTTATATAATTTATATAATAAACTGTATATATTATATTATACTAAGATCATTTATTAAGTAATTAGCAGATTATTAATTAAATTATATTTAATAATTATATTTATAACTTATCTTTTTTTTTTTTTCTTCGCAATGTCGCAAATAGGTGAATTTTTATTAGGTATTTAAGTAGTACATTTACTACCACCTACAATTACGCCGCCTATAACCTCGTGCTGCTATATTTAAAGACCACCCAGATCAATATGTACTACACTACTTGTGCTCTAATTCTATAGATAACCCAATAGGATTCTCATACTTATCAGGTTGCCCTAAGGAGGGTGTAGTATATACACACTAATTTTCTATGTCTTGCACATTTTCAGACTAGGCCTTTTCGGTAACTTACGCCGAGTGCAAGAATAAGTACTTGCGAGCTGAAGCTGCTACAGTTACCTACTACTGCCCTTGTAGAGTTTATCTAAACCCCGGTATCTACTTTACGAACTCTCTTCCATACCTCTGGAAACCCAAACTTCTAATTCTACAGCCTGGAAGGGCAGAACCCTTTCTCTGTTTTTCTCTGTCAGCCTAGTTGGTATAGTGCTTTTTCCAAACACCTAGGTTCCGTTCAGTTTTTCGGTATCTGGTTGATCATCCTTTACTTAGTAACCATTGAAGATTTGTGCTACCTCTCTACTTGGATCTTGCCAAGCAGGCTTCTGTACCCTGTAAATTCGCTGAATTTATCTAATAGTTTACTTGGGTTTTTTGTAATCTGTACATTACACTACATGTTCCACTACCTCCTAATACAAGCTGGTACAACTACCATTACAGGTTCTACAACCCAATAGGATACAGTCTTCCAAATGCATTTTCTATAATTTGAATTTTTATCACTGGTAGGATTCGAACTCTAGTCCTGCTACTTGGGGTGCGACAACTTGCCAACTTTACTAAGTCACTACAACCTATATAACTTATCTTAATTAATTAAAAAATAATATAATTTATAAAGTTATTAATTAAATCTACTAATAAATAGATTAACTACAGTCAATTCTGGATATAATAAACCTTTTTATAATAAATACTAGATATAACAAACTCAAAATTTTTAAAGTTTAATATTAGTTTAGTATAACAAGAGCTGTGATTCTTAAAAAAATATAATAATTTTATATAATAAACTTTTTTTGACCAAAATCTAGAATTTGATATAGAAAGAGTTAACTATAAATTATTAAACTAATTTTTTTTTTTTAACTAGCCTCTTTGATGTAGAAATTTTTATTCAAGTATATTGGGCAGGAAGCTCATATAAGTGGAACCCCAATTATATTAGAGAGTACAACTAGCTATACATGTGGCTTTTGAGCATCTATTTTCGTAATCTGCATATAGATAACTATATATTATAGGTTCTATACTAGTTGTTATACCTATAATCCAACTAGGGGATTATCTATTTAAACCCTCTGTAACATACACTACCCTCTTGTGTCACTGGAACATCTCTATTATATTTGTCAATCAAGAGTTCCAGATGCGTACCATAGCCTTAGGACTAATTTATCCTCGAAGCATCATTACTAGAACTTTTCTTACTTACAATTCGGCTAATTTAGACTTTTAGTAACTTATACCAAGTCTGAGAACAAGTACTTGCGAGCTGAAACCACTACTATTACCTACTTCTGCTTTTGTAGGGTTTACTCACTTTACGGACTGTCTATCATTTTACTAGTTCCCAAACTCCCAATCCAAATAGCCCAGAAGGGCGGACCCTTCCTCCAATTCTCACTGACGGCCTGGTTGATTTGGTGCCTTGCTGAACACCTCGGTTCTGTTCAGTTTCTGGTTCTTCAATTGATAATCCTTTACATAGTGCTATCGAAGATTTGTGCTATCTCTCTACTTAGGACTTGCCAAGCAGGATTTTATATGCATCAGCTCTTGAATTTACACAAATACTTCACTTGAATTTTGTATAACTCTTGTTCTTTCAGTACAAGCTGGTATGACCAAAGCTACAGATCCAATGATCCATCAAATTACACACAGTCTGCTGTAACACATTCTGTAAAATTCGAATTTCATCACTAGTAAAATTTGAACTCGTCTTGCTGCTTGAGAGTATGACAACTTATCAACTTCATTAAGTTACCACACCCTTATTAAACTAATTTAAATTAGACTAAAATATATAAAAAAATATTAAGAAAAAATTATCAAAACACAAAAAAAATAAATAAAGTTTATAAAATCTTATATTTGCTAGTTTATCTAATTAATATATTTATATTATATCTAAATATATTCTTATATTATATTATATTAGTCTAAATTAAAAATAATTAAAGTAAAAATTATAGTATAATTTAAACTAATTATTATAAATTATTAATATTAATTATTTAATAGCTACTTAAAATATATTAACTAAGATATAATATATATAATATTTAAACTTTTATAAAAAATTTTATACTTATTATACAGTTAAATCTCTCTAAATACAACCTCTCTAATATATATATAGTCAACTCTTTCTATATTAAATGGTCAAGTACAAGTTCAATTTCACAGAGAGTAAAAATTAAATTTAAAAAAATAGATTTGGCAACTATTATTGTGATTGAGAAAACTCGAGACTCTGTAACTATGATTAGTAAACTCTATTTTAAAACTAATAACGAATCAAATACTCTAATAGGATATTCCAGTTCCATGACCCTTGTATAAACAAATATAACCGAAGAAAGCTTTGTTTAATTCTTTAATTATGATATACCAAGTTATTTCTCATCAAATTATGTTTACTTTTTTAAAATCTTAGAGTTTAGAAATTTATTAAAAAATTTAATAATATCTATTATTTTGAAGTAGCTCTATTGTTTTTATTAGAAGCTATAAATTATTCTGGCTAACTATACTAAAATATTGTCTGAGTGTATCAGCAAGAATTTCTGGCAGTGCATTGATATCTCTTAAAATCACATAATATTCGAACGGAAAGGTATTTAGATATCGTTCCATACTAAGTGTCATTATCCCATTTACCGATTTATACTTGACTTGATTCATCGATGTTATAGAATCTTTTTCTGATTTGTTATCAACAATTATAAATACAACCATTATTTGTGCCTCAGTTGCTCTTCTGACAAGAGATTTAAGAGTTTCATGGTCTTCACATACACCATCTGATACTATTAGTTGAAGTTGCCATAACTCTTTCCTCTGTGCTACACCATTATATCTGTTTCTGGCACGTTCCAAAAGCTCGATAGATGCTTCCATTAATGATCTGACGTAGGTCTTGTTTTGTTCAAATGTAAATTGATGTATAAGTTGTGCCCCTGCTTCGCTGCTAAACGGTTGATCAAAGGGATGAAGTAATTGCACCTTTTCTCCGAAACTAACAACAGAAATATCACCAACTTCGAGTTGCGATAATGCTTTAGATATCAAAGCTAATGTCTCATAGGCGAGTTGAATCGAACGAGTTTCATTCATTGATTTTGAATCGTCGACTGCTATCATGACTTGATATTGTCGTTTGCTTAGTTTTGTGCGGCGAAGCCAAATTTTATCCTTTTTAAAATTACTGGCAATATACGGTATAATCTTTTTCATATTGAGCCTTTTGCCAGTCCGGTAATCTCCTTTTAATTTCGTGGCAAGGGTAGGCTCTAGAATTAATCGCAATTGTTCACAAAGACCATTAGCCAAATCATAAGTAAGGTTTTCGTATTTTTGCCAGAGTTCCCTTGCTTTGGTAATGTTTCGATCGGACTGCCGCCATTCCGACAATTTAATTTCAAGTTCCTGTCGTAAACTATCTGTGTCATCACGGATAGATTTGTTATTTTGAATATTAATGGTATCATAAGTAAGGTTTTCATCTTTTTGCCCGAGTTCTCTTGCTTTGGTACTGTTTCGATCGGACTGCCGCCATTCTGACAATTTAATTTCAAGTTCCTGTCGTAAACTACCCGTGTCATCACATATAGTTTTGTCATTTTGAATATTAATGGAATCTTCGATCTCTTTGTCTTCGTAAGCAGATTCATAATTACAAGTTTGATCAATTGTTTCAACCGCTTTTAATTGATCTTCAGTGGCTGCAGCCATCACCTGAAGATCATGAGCAACATCATCATCTTTTATATATTCAAAATTTTTACTTTCGTTTAATTTTTGCTCTATGTTACTTTGAAGATCATTGTTTTGTTTAAATTGGGAGCTCGAATTTTCATCAATTATTTCAAGTCTCCGATGCCATTGTTCAAGAGCATCACCAAGACTCCTATGGGGATTGACATCCTTTAAATTACAGTTCAGCCTTTCTTGACAAGTTTCAAGGTTTTTACTAGATCTTTCTTCTGGGATAGCAGTTACTTTACCTGATTGTCCGTCAATACCATCCATATCATTAGTGCAGTCTGGTTCACCTACCATAGTCTCAGTTATCAATGAATTGACAGATTTATTATCGTCTTGATCTTTCGTGAGATGCTCTTGTGAGACTTTACGAGATCTTTCTTCTGGGATAGCAGTCGCTTTACCTGATTGTCCGTCAATAACATCCATTTTATCTGATTGTCCGTCAATAACATCCATTTTATCTGATTGTCCGTTAATATCATCCATTTTATCTGATTGTCCGTCAATATCATCCATTTTATCTGATTGTCCGTCAATATCATTCATATCATTAGTGCTGTCTGGTTCATCTACCATAGTCTCAGTTACCAATGAATTGACAGATTTACTATCGTCTTGATCTTCCGTGAAAGGTTCTTGGATGGCGTCAAGTTCAGGTTCATCTATATGCATGTTGGAAAGATCATCATTGTCAAGGTTATCAGCATAATCATCAAGAACTTCATTTCCATTGTCTTGATTGTCAAATTCATCTTCAGGATCATCTATATTCATATCATTTGGAAGCTCTAAATTTTCAGCCGAAGGAATATCAAATTCAATCTTAGTTTGATCATTAATTTGCATGTCGTATTCATCATCATTTTGTTCATTTTGTTCACTTGAAATTTCTTCTTCGGCTCCACTCAAACTTTCTTCACCTGACTGTTTGGATTGATGTGATTCCTGTTTAGAATCGCTATAATTTTCTTTTGCAACAATATCCATTTCACCTTTTGGGTCAGATTGTTTATGCATTTGATCAACAACTTCTCCACTATCCTCATGTTCGGGTGTACCATCTCCCCACATTTTTTCGTCAACGTTTTGGTCGTCATCATCAAGATTGCCAATTTGCTCATCCAAATTCGACAAGTCATCGTCCTCCTGAGATGAATCCGTATCGTCAAGTTGTTCAGTACTTTCTAGTGTTCCTTCAAAGTCATTTTCCATTTCAATTCCATTATTTTCTATGTTTGGATTAGTTGGCTCGCCTGATAACTTCTCAGCCTGATTCTGAGTTCCCAGCACTTGCTCTTCATTGACAATTTCGTCACTCACATCTTTTGTGCCATCACCTTCACCAATACCAGTTCCTTGTGCATTATCATCAATATCTCCTGGTTCATCATCTTTCATTTCTGTTTCCGGCATGCAGAATCCTTTTGTGAATATGGTTACAAAAGAGTTACAAAGTACCAATGAGAGTTTACACAATGATTTATGATGTAAAATGAAATTTATCATAAATCCATTAACGATTATAAAGTGCTGCTGAATAAATGGAAAGATTCTTTGTAATAAACATGAAATTAAATCCTGACAAATATCATTTTTAAATCTATTATCATCCATTAATTCAGAAAGTTGTGAATGGATCTCATTGAAATGATCCAAAGTAATTTTTAATTGCAGTTTCTTTAAAAAGTTTAGATAGCATTCATGTTCATAGCGGATATAACCATCACACATGTCTTCTTGATGTTGGTGATGAATGTCGTTTTGAGCGGACAGTTTTCTTAAATTTTGGATACATAGTAGGATCTCATCAAGTAAATTGTTGATTTTGTGAACAATTCGTCCGAGAGTTAACTTTGTTTCTTTATTTAAGCTTGGATGCGTATAATTATCTTGTTTCGAAAATTGAAATAGGTTATTTTTAGAAGTTATGTATTCACAAAGCGGTTGGAAAATGTGTGAAAGATCCAAATGCCGAGAGCATAGATCTTTAACATATGTATACAAAGTATTAATTATATGAATCTCATTCTTGGCCATTTGTATAATATCCTGAGTTATAATTACAGCACTTCCGTTTGCATAGTCAGGATATAGAACGATCCTGTCGAATACACAAATAAATCTCTTTCGAGCTGCAGAGATTATCTCAAGCAAATTACCAATATTATGACTAATCTCTTCATATTCAAAAGAAACTTCACGTTTTGAGAATTGTTTTTGAATATTAAATAGTAAGCGTGAATGTAATAACATGCATTCTATATCATCTAAGAGCATTTTGATATTCCACACACTTTTTTCATCGAAAGAATCGAGACACACTAATCCACAGTCTTTAGCATTTAAGCGATGGGAATTGTATGCTGAATATATTGAGCCTAATTGTACCATGACTCCCGAAAGTCCAATGTACTCTTGTTCTAATTCGCACAAGGATCTTCTTTCTTCTATTAACAAACATAATAAGTCTTCTAAAAAACCTAATCCTTTCTGTACTTCTTGAAGTGAAAGATCCTTAGAATGAGTTGTGGATATTTGTCGAAGATGTGTCATTTGAGCAATAATTCGGTAATAATAATCATCAGCTTTTTGCAAAATTGGTATGAAAATATGCATAGTTGGAGGTTTTGATGTGGGCTCGTCCTTATGGAGTAAGGATTCTACAGTTTCATACAATGATTTGGTTATTTGAATTCTAGGGAGTTGAAAAGTATAGCCAACCAGATCTTGTTGTTGCTTTATAACCTTTGTATTTGGAAATTTGCGCAATCCGATCCTTTTCAATTCTTTTAAAAGATCAACTAAAGATTTTTTCTTTACCAATTTAAGATTTATGATATAGTTTTTTTTGTCTTTATCCATTATGTAATGTGTTTGTTCTTGAAGCGTTTTTATTCGCGCAATAATTTCTGTAGCAAAATCATCGAGAATAGGTTTTTTACTAAGTGGCCTATATAAGAAAATATCATTAAGACAATAATAACGGAATTTTTTCAAGGTTTTGTCGATGTTTATGAATCGGTCAGGTGCAGGTAATACTTCTTTGCATAATTCTATTTGTAGCTCTAATGTCGTTGCAGGAGGATCAATAGGAATAGTGTTCGGAAACCAATTTTCCGGGCAATCGTACGTACAATATTCAACAGAATTGGAACTGTTACTTCCTAACTGGCTCTTGGGGAAAATCGTTTGACAGGATGCTATAATATCAGTAACTGGCCTATCAAGTACATCTCGATATTTTCGAATACATCTCGATAAGTGTCGATGGGTTTTTTGGGCACTTTGCTTTAAGGCATAAATATTTATATCTTTCCAACTAGCAATCTTTACGAATTGACCAAGGTCTTTTTCTATAGGCTTACGCATATCAACTAATGCATTGTCAAGTTCATAAAGAAATTGGGAATAGTACTTGTAGACGTTCCAAAGCACATCAGCTGCTTGTTTATAAAGCGATTTATACGTTTCATCACTTGAATTATTATGCGCATTAACTTTTGAAAAATGATCCAATATACAAAGATGTTCGTAGAAACAACGGATTAATTCGAGCCGAGATTTAAAGTCACCATATTTCGACGATTGCAGGAATTGATCAAGAGTGCGAACAATTTCATTTATGTGCTGTTGGAAAATTGCAGTTGTTCTATCGTAAGATGATTGCTTTTTAAGATTATCTATGGGCAGAATTATACAGTTAAAGAGGTGGAACCACCATTTGGATGCGGATAATTCATAATATTTTTCTTGTACCGCCAGTAACTTTGGCCAGCAAGTCAATTCAAGTTGCCTCCATTGAATAATAAGTCCAATAATTTCTTTTTGATATGGTTTAATTGTTGTATCTCTACTAGCATACGTTTCCCAATCTTCAGTTTTTTGTAATAAAATTTCTAATCCTGTAAGGAATTTTGCAATAGGTGAATTTAAATTGAATCCCTTGATCCTTTCGCAAATATTATTAATTTGGTGAAGTATTGCATGTTCAGGCCACATTACGATTAATTCCGTAACACGTTGTTGCAAGTTTGTGATAATAGGAATTAATTTTTTTGCTTCAAATATGTTATGATCTTTATAGAAATCATACAATTCTGGAACTGTATTGTTTGAACTATATATATTTATGATTTCATCCTTTCCTACGAACCAATTTTTTAATATCGACGTGCCTAATAATGTGCATGTTGCAAATGCATCATCAAGTTCTTCTGGATATAATTTGTTATTAAATGAAGCAAGTTCTCGAGCCATGCTAAAAGTTGACCAGAACGTCTGTTGAATTGCCTTCGGGCAGCCTTCAACATATTTTGCACAATATAAGTTAAAGTCACTGACAAACATTTTATGTAATGTGCATATATTTATAATAATTTCATCTTTGGCAATTACCACATCTTACAATTTA